TTTTATTCAGCAAGGACATATTAAATTAATGAAAAGTGTCAATAGCCGGGTTTCCATCCAAATTTGCGAATTTAACTTATGCGCAAAACTGGAATATTGCATAAAACATTTGCGAACAAGCATCGTTTCCATCCAATAAGTCAAAGAGAACAAAATCGTCACTTCCTGATAAACTGGCACTATAAATCACTAAGAAAAGTAGGAAAATATAGTAATTTTCATATATAATAAATTACTTGCCTCAGAGCGAGCAGACGAAACACAATTGGAATGAGATCAGTCCGCTGGTTAGTCAGGTTTTGCCGTCACATAGCGCAAAGTCACATGACTTTTTTGATGCGCTTGGAGGAATTTATTCACGAAATGCATTTCCATCTCCCATTATTCACATCAACCCTTTTTCGCACAAGTCAAAAACCACCTCAAGCGAGCGTACATTTTTTTTTTTTTTTGCGAATTAAGGGATTTTTATTCGAAATTCGACGTTTCCATCACTCGTTTCTCATGAGATCCTTCAAAATGCGCATTAAAATAGGGTGATGGAAACATAGCTACTGTTTCTTGAGCAGAAAATCATCATATTAGAATGATTTCTGAAGGATCATGTGACACTGAAGACTGGAGTAATGCTGCTGAAAATTCAGCTTTGGATCACAGGAATAAATTACATTTTAACATATATTAAAATAGAATCAGTTATTTAAAATAAAAATAGAAAACAAAACTCTTACAAACCCAAACCTTTGAACTTGGTGTGGATGTTTACAGTCCTTCGACAGTCTTCATAATTCCCAAAGGTCTGCCTAATATCGCAGTTTACTGAGTTGCAGGATTTTAAAATATGTAATAAAAAAATTTATTTAAAAGTGAGTGCAGATTTGAAGCATGCCATGTTTTACACACTATAACCTGTGGACATGGACTTGTTGCATCTAACATCTAAAGCCATAAAGCACACCTATCATTCACATGGTCTGCGACCATGACTTAAACCAGCATGCTTTTAGTTTGTTCTGACATGCTGAGACCACACAGTGAGTCTAGTGTCAGATAAAAAGAGTCTTCTGTCTGCACTATTGCAATTTTAGTGTTTAACATAGATGGCACACTTACTAGACGGTGGTTTACATTACAGATTTATTTGTAGTGCTTGGATGGTGTTTTAAATTTGTTGGATTGTGTTTTCATAAAGAAAAGGCATGTGAAGCGTTGCACTCTGTTGGATTTATATGCACTAGATTATTTGTGTTACTGTCTGACATTTTGAGGTTTGAGCGATGATATGAGTCACGACTGTATTCTTCAGACTTTAATAAGAAGGTTCAAGACATTTCTATTTTGAGCTGGGGATGATTTCATCTCACACACAATAAGATATTTCTAGCTTACAGGAGTGTACACATTGTCTCACATTTAAGCTGAAGGTCCTGTCTTCATTGAGGTACATCATGCAGTGTCTGTTTGCAATCTTGAATGAAAATGTCAGATTTCATTGTCCTTTCAGAACCAAAACCAGACTGCTAGTTGCCACTCTGTTAATGGTAAAGCTTACTGAGCATAACTTTGCAATGTTTGTACCAGAAGGCTTTGAAAGATGAGGTTTTATGCAAGTGTAGTGGTTTAATGAAGAACAATAGAAAATATAAATAACATAATTGAATGAAGATCGCAGAAAGTCTGGACCTTTTCACAGTTAAAGCAAGTCACCTTTATTTATATAGCGCGTTATACAATACTGATTGTGTCAAAGCAGCTTTACAGTGCCAAACAGCATATTCTGGACAAGAACCACCAAATTATACAGGAAGAGTAGCTTAACTGACATGAAAATTATTCAATAATTGATTGTGCCTTTTAGGGGCAGAGTTTATGTAAGATACAACACCGGTCAAAATATTTGATAAAAAAATAACCAGTAAAACCAGTAATATTGTGAAATATTATTACAATTTAAAATACTTGTTTTCTATTGTAATATATTTTCAAGTGTAATTTATTCCTGTGATCAAAGCTGAATTTTCAGCATCATTACTCCAGTGTCACATGATCCTTCAGAAATCAGTATAATATGCTGATTTGCTGCTCAAGAAACATTTATTATTATTATTAACAATGTTGAGAACAGTTGTGCTGCTTCATATTTTTATGGCAACTGTGATTTCAGGATTCTTTGATAAATAGAAAGCTCAAAAGAACAGCATTTATTTGAAATGCCCTTAGTCGAGCGTTATTAGTTAAGACTAAATCTTACTACTTAAACCCCCGGTTTCACAGACAAGGCTTAAGCCTAGTCCCAGACTACAATGTAAGTCTGAGCTGTTTCAACTGAAAGAAACTTGCACTGATTGATCTTAAAATATATCAATGCCTTGTTCTATGGCCTAATTCTGGCTTAGTCTTTCCAACAACCATCTCTTTCAGCTGACTTTATGCATCCATCTGTTGTTTCTGTTTACTCTACTGTACATGTGTGTGCACAATACAATGTGATGTAAAATGCAGTGATGTAGCATTTCATTGAAAAATGTAGCTCGTTACTTGAAAATGCTGCATGAAGTAGCATGCATTATCACACTACTAAAAAATGTAATCAAGTGAGTAGCTTTGCTACTTTTAACCACTGTTGTGTGCATATAATTGTCAGTTAGGATGGGCATGTGTGTGTAGTAACTGATGAAGCTGCAGTCAGAAGGCAAGTCAAGTGTATGTGTTTATGTGCAGTCATATCTCTAGGCAGAGCTCTGTCTCCTGGAGAAGCATTTGAGGGGTCTCTTAGTTTCTGTGCCTCTGATTGGCCACATCATCTGTAAGCCACGTGCACATGCTGCCGTCTCCCCCTCCCACCCCTCAGATGAAGTAGCGCTCTGCAGAGGAGACAGTTAGACAGTCATCCTCTCCGCATATCGACCTGAGAACTAAGACGACTCGTGGCTGCTACCGATGAGAGGTTTTGACCACAATCCTGCCAAACCTGTTTCTCCAAAACCGTCTCACAGCATCAGCTCTACACGTTTACCACCCTCTTTCAGTGTTATTAGAGGTGTTTAAGGGTGTCGAGGTGGTAAAATGGGCAGACAAGGGCAGGATGGCAGCACCGCTCTCCCCGGCATGCGAATGCAGCGCTCACAGAGCCGGCTTAGTCTGTCTGCCTCCTTCGAGGCACTGGCCGTCTACTTTCCCTGCATGAACTCCTTTGACAAGAAAGACGGAGGTAAGAATGAAGACACATGCCATGTGTGACAGGCTCTGCTATGTCCAGTTCTTTTGAAAGCTTTTTGGTTTGTGACCAACTGAAAGCCAAAGAGCCGTATATGATGTGTGATTTATGTTTGTGTGATATATGTTATGTCTGCTTGGATTGGATAAGGCAGATGTAGTAGTGTACCATTAAGATAGATAGATAGTTAGTAGGGGTGTAACGGTACATGTATTCGTCCCGAACCATCACGGTACTGACGTCACGGTTCGGTTCATGCAGTCAGAGGACGAATACAGTCAGTCATAGGCGATCAATCCAGAAGGGGGCGCGCGCGGTAATGCAATGCTGAGAAGACAATCAGCGCACCAACCCAAAGCAAGAACGGCGAGTTCAGATGGCACGCAAGAGCTCACAGAACCGCCTGCCTGTTATAAATCAGCAGTGTGGGAAAGTTGCACACAAACTGCATTGCAATCATTTCCCAAAATGTAATTTGTGTGGAATTTTTATGAAGTCTGTAAAGAGGAGAAAATACTGTACCAGGCAGATCAAGCTCACTATTCAAGATTCTTGAAATATAGGGAGACAAATATGTGGGGGTTTATATGAATGCATCTCTGAGAGTCTTCAGAAATGTTTCAATGGAATTTTCTTTTCGCCTTACCGCCATATACTGCATATTAGTGTTTATAAGCACAGCGCTGCTTTGTTTACAGCGGTAAGCAAGGAAACGCTGTATCGCTGCTGTTTCATAAGCGCCACCTGCTGTCAGAGAGTGAATCTGCATTTTCATTCAGTTCGTCTGCTGTTTCTGTTTTGCGCAGGTGTCTTATGTAGCCTAATTTCATAAATCTAAAGTCAGACCATTCTGTTTTTGCTTTAAATCCTGAAATTATACAATCTAATTCAAATCAAAAACAACAGTTAGCACTACTGTCTGTTCAAAATAAATGAATAAAAATACATTTCCTGTTGTACCGAACTCGTATCGAACCGTGACCCCAAAACCGAGGTACGTAACAAACCGTACATGACTTCCGTGTACAGTTACACCCCTAATAGATAGATAGATAGATAGATAGATAGATAGATAGATATGTGAATAAGCTGACTGGAGGTCACTCCGGACTGCCCTGCTGCTCAGACTGGCAGACTGACACCCTCTGTTGGTCATAACATGTTTTTTTAAGCATCTCATTCAGTGGTTGTCAACCATGTTTTTTTTCTTAAAGGGTAAAATGCATTTTCTGATATTAAAATACTCTCTCCAACTTGGCTTGAGTAGAGACAACAATAAGAAACCATTTGTAGCATGATCACTATTGCTCTGTGGTGCTTTCAAAACATGTTTTGCTGTTTTTGGCTCAACTCTTCTGGTGCAAGTTTGGGATGGGACTGTATGTTTGCCCAACCCATGGTAGATGGGTGTGTGGTGGCAGTGTTATGTCGAGACCAACTCATTCAAGACCAGGCTAAGACCTGAGTAGGTTGAGTCTGAGACAAGACAGAGACTGGAAGAGGCTCTGAATGATTCCTGTGGTGTGAATGAAGCCTGGTTTTACGTCAGTGTTACATGAACCTCCACAGCACACAGTGTGCTCTGAGATACACGATAGCACTGAGCAGATCATTTGTTTGAGTTAGCACAGACCACAAAACATATCTGCAGACTGGACATGGTCCAAGTCCATGACAAGACCAAGACCAAAAGATGGACTACTTGAGACACTGTGGTTCGAAGTGTCACACATTTGTCTTTTTTTATTTACTCATCTTCCCTTCCCCTTGTTGTTATTTTCAGAGGAGGGTAAGAAGAAGAAGCCGGTGCGTCTGGCGATCCAGCGGAGTGTAGAGACTGGTTTAGCCGTCGAGATGAAGAGCAGGATGACACGGCAGCCCAGCCGGGAGACCACAGATGACGGCGATAAGGTGAAGCCTGGAAAGTAAGTACTGTAAAAATCTACTTCTGAATTTGATGGTCCACATATTGTTAAATCACATGATGTCATCACCACCATTCCTGGTTGGCTGGTTTTGTGTCAGTGATGATATCTTGTCTTGTCAGAGGCTATTAGCACCTGATTTACAGATGTTCTGTCCATTATCTGTTCAAAGTCTAATCTTCCCTGGAGTGAAGATCTCTTCAGACAGCCAGTTCACTGAGTTTTTGGATGGTCTTGGCCCCGCCCAGCTGGCAGGGAGACAGACATTGGCCACGCCTCCAATGGGTTAGTATCGTCACTCACTTTTTTCTTTTGTTGTTCACATGTACAAATTTATTTGGTATTGTATAAGACACTATAAAGCACAAAATACATTTCAGTTTTGTCTCAAGTAGTTTGATGTTGTTACATTTCATCCATGAAACAGAAGACTATGGTTCTATTTCCACCTGGTATTAAGATGCGTTTTCAATTACTCGATCTCAATTACCATGTACACCTGGTCTTAACATGACTTTTAAATGCTTCTCCTGTTACCACTTGTGTTAGAATTTCATCTAAATCAGGGGTGTCCAAACCTACTCCAGGAGGGCCACTTTCTTGCAGTTTAGCCAGTTTACACACCTGAACCAGCTAATCAAGGTCTTCAGACTCACTAGAAACTTCGAGGCAAGTGTGTTAGAGCTGGTTGAAGTGAAATTCTTCTAGGTCTAGATCCTAGACCAGGGTTGGCTAATGTCGGTCCTGGAGAGTCACAGTACTGCAGAGTTCAGCTCTAACCCTAATCAAATCACAAGCTAATCAAGGTCTAAGGGTTACTGGAAAGCTACAGGCAGGTGAGTTTTTATCAAGGTTGGAGCAAAACTCTGAAGGACTTGGCCCTCCAGGAGTAGGACTGGTCACCACCATTCAAAGCGGCCAAGGTTCCCAGACCTTCTGCTGTCTGTCTGAATGTCTGGCAACACGAGACTACCCCTGGTTTAGACCCTCTTATTCCATCACATGCTACATCACTTGCGCTGGAACGGCGAAAGCTGTGCACGAATACTTAGAATGAATGAAGCCATTACACTGCTTACGAACAAGCGGGAAAGGAAGCGCATGGAAAGAATACAAATGGTAACATCGATTTTGATCCTAACCTATTTGTTTTGGCACAACACCACGAAGTATGAATCGATTGTTTTGGTGTGTTTGGTGTGCTACCTCTGAAAATGGTCGAAAGTGGACAAGCTCAAAATGTTTTAGACCTCATGTACACCTGTACTTACTGTCATCCACATGTGATCAGTTCGATGAAAATGCATCTGTAAAAGCAGGTGTAAACAGGGCCTGTGAAACGACAGGCAGATACAGTGTTGCCACCTTGTGGACGAAGTTACAAGTCCAAAAAATAATAATAATAAAAACAAAGCCATATGTGCAAGGTAAAAGTAGTTACAAAAAATTGTGCATACATTATGAATTTTACAAGTACGCGTCGACTACTGTATGTTTAAAAAAACAAAAATACTTTGGGCTTAACACATGATTCTCCACCAAAAAAGTCATGATTGTCCATAGCACTGTAGTAACTTTTATCAAACGGTTTCTATAAAGAGAACTTTTGTCTGCTCTAAGAGTTTGGATGTGGCCTTTTGTGCAGGTGACATCCAGATTGGTATGGTGCACAGGAAGGAGAGGCTGGATGTTGAAGTTATTCGGGCTCGAGGCCTGGTGGGCAAACCAGGGAACAAACAGACGCCAGGTATGCCTCACAATGACACAATATACATGTTTTTCTTTAAATATGACCTGTCCCTGGACTATTTTGTGACGTTTATATGTAAATTCTTGCGGTCTTCCATTTGCAGCACCTTATGTAAAAGTATATCTGCTGGACAATGGGAAGTGCATCAACAAAAAGAAAACACGGACGGCAAGAAAAACACTGGATCCTCTTTATCAACAGCAGCTTCAGTTTGAGGAGAATCCTGAAGGAAAGGTTTTACAGGTAACACCAGGACCAATAAGAATGAACAATATTTAAAGCAAAAAAAATATTTTCATGTAAGTCTTAATTGTCATTAAATGATGACACGCAAAAAAAAATTTTTATTTTGTTATGCCAAATGTAATTTATTTCTTGTTTCTTTTGATTTGGGGGTGGAATTTGACTTAGATATGTTTTCACCACATCAGTTATTTTAGTATTATTTGTTTACTATTATAGTATTTATTCATTTTTTATATTTTCAGTTTCCTTTTTTAATTTTAGTTAATTTTTCATAATTTATCATGTGATTTTTTTATATTTCTATTTAGCTTTCATTTATTAAGACGTTTTAATTTTAGTTAACAGTAACAACACTGCACCACATCTTTTGAAACTCTTTACCAATCGTGTTTTACAGATAATTGTTTGGGGGGACTATGGACGCATGGACCACAAATCCTTCATGGGAGCCGCCCAGATCCTGTTAGACGATTTAGAGCTGACCAACATGGTGATTGGCTGGTACAAGCTCTTCCCTCCCACCTCATTAGTGGACCCAACCTTGGCACCTTTAAGTAGTAAACCTCCAGGTTCAGGCCTGGACAGTTCCAACGTTCGGTCGTAGCGGCACGAGGAGGTGAGCGGTAGAGAGCGGCGTGAGTAGCTCCAGCTACAGACAGAGAGGAGACGGGTCACGTCCTGGTTACACTGCATGCTTGATGTTGTGTCCTCTGAGCCCATGCGACAAGAGGCTAAGAAAAGGCCTACGTCCTTCTGCCAAAAAAATAACCGAAAAGAAAATGAATGCTGCTGTCACACGCAGGGAAAGAACGATAGAGGAAGTCTCTCCGTTCCGCTGAAGAGATGCAGCCAGGGATTCAGTGGAGTCTGACTCTTAACTGTAGGACGTTAAGAGTGCTGATTTCCACCAGAATAGGAAGACGCCGTTTTACTCTGGATGTTTTCTCTCTGTTGAATTCAAAGAGATGTCAGTGTTTCTTACCTAGAACTTGATGCATTGTAGCCATTACTGTAAGCCAAGCTGTCAAAAGAAGATCCATAAAGAGAGAAGCACTTGGCTAAGATGGGACAGTAAAGGGTAACCTCAGAGAGATGACATTCTCATGGGAATGACCCTACATCAAGCCAGATCTCCACTGGATCGCTCTTCAAGGTTCAGTGATGAGGAAATGGATATGGCCAGAGTTCCTGTTCGATTCAGGAAACAACAGAATTCTGAGAAAAGAAAAGAAAATTTAATTAAATAATTAAATAATGGACCTTTTTGTGCTCCGGTATGATGTTCTCTTTGTTGATGTACTGTATGAAATTTATGATTTTTTTTCTTTCTTTTTTGCATGGATGCAAAAAAATTGTTTTATTTTCCTCAAGACAAAAAAAAATAAAAAGAAAGAGAGGAAGAAACTTATTTAAGGATGACCAGATCAGCCATTTTCAACAATTTGTATTATTTTTAATATGAAATTCTCTAGTGCATGATTTTCAAAGAGACTGAATGCAAAATGATAACGATGTGATTGTCATCCTTTCGAATATTTTTCTGTATTTTTACAGATCTCGGTTACAGGTGTGGTCTGGTGAGACTTGGCATCTCATATTATTAATGGAAAAAAAAGCAAGGGATGGCCGAGGAAAACAATAAATGTACAATATTGATTTTGCTATAAAAACAAACATGAAAATTGTACATTCCTCCCTTCAAATGCAGCCATAATTCTTTGTTCATGTGGAGCCAGAGCTGTAGATTATCAGATGGGTCTGTCATGATTCCACTGTGTTCTATTACACTAGAATGGCTCATTCATTCAAAGCAAGCATGTTGAAAAGGGTCTGCAACATGGATTGAGCACACCGTCTGAGTAATACAGCATGTTTTGATAGAGACATCTGGGAATTTTTTGCAGTTTTGTGTACAGTGCATGTGGACCAGAGGCTTGGCCATCCCCCCTATCTGTCGTCCACAGATTCAGGTCAGGGTCGAGCTTTTGTGGCCGACGGTTCAGACATTCAACGCAACATTCCACCTCTTGGCACTCATTTTTCTTGAAGTTTTGAAAAGAATAAAAGAAAAGAAAATCAAACAGATGAAAGAAAACTAAAAAACATGGGGGAAAAAAGAAGAAAATTTATATTTATTCAAGGTTGACTTGGAAAAAAAGGTTGCAAGTATATTTTATTTTATTATTGTTATAAAGAAAATGTCATAAAAACAGATCCCATTGGATGGTGCTGTACGAAGTCTCTGAACTCTTAGTGGACTGGACAATGTTCATTCTCGTCATGTTGTTCAACGCAACGGACACTGGTTGTCAAATGAGGAGTGAGTCACAGTTTGTGGAGATGGGAAAATTGCCACACAATATGAATTTTTAATTGTTTCTTGTTTTGAGAGAATAAAATTCATTTACTAATCCCTGTGTTCATTCACCAAACTTTCTCACAGACAAAAAATACCAAAACATTAACTTTCATGGCCACTTGACATACTGCAGAGCATCTTGACGCCAGTACTAAATACTTGCTAAGTGGAATGCGGTACAAATGATCAAATCAAATGTAGTCTCAAAAGTAATTCAATAGTTTAAATAATTATGTAACATTAACACACAGAGGTGCTAATGGGAGAATTCTTTTTTTCTTTCTTTTTTCTCACCTAAATGAGTCGATACAATGTAACACATCGTGTAAACCAGGGCTGTCCAAACTCAGTCCTGGAGGGCCGGTGTCCTGCAGAGTTTAGCTCCAACTTGCCTCAACACACCTGCCTGGAAGTTTCTAGTATGACTAGTAAGCGCTTGATTTGCTGGTTCAGGTGTGTTTAATTAGGGTTGAAGCTAAACTCTGCAGGACACTTCTTGTTTTGAGAGAATAAAATTCATTTACTAATCCCTGTGTTCATTCACCAAACTTTCTCACAGACAAAAAATACCAAAACATTAACTTTCATGGCCACTTGACATACTGCAGAGCATCTTGACGCCAGTACTAAATACTTGCTAAGTGGAATGTGGTACAAATGATCAAATCAAATGTAGTCTCAAAAGTAATTCAATAGTTTAAATAATTATGTAACATTAACACACAGAGGTGCTAATGGGAGAATTCTTTTTTTCTTTTTTTTTTCTCACCTAAATGAGTCGATACAATGTAACACATCGTGTAAACCAGGGCTGTCCAAACTCAGTCCTGGAGGGCCGGTGTCCTGCAGAGTTTAGCTCCAACTTGCCTCAACACACCTGCCTGGAAGTTTCTAGTATGACTAGTAAGCGCTTGATTTGCTGGTTCAGGTGTGTTTAATTAGGGTTGAAGCTAAACTCTGCAGGACACCGGCCCTCCAGGACCGAGTTTGGACAGCCCTGATGTAAACATTTATCACCTTTTATTGGAAAATTAACATTTTATCAATACACTGATAATTGCCTTAATTTTTTAAAAACTGAGAAGAAAAAATCACCTGTCAATTTCAGTGAGTAAAGAGCAAATTTATACTTGCATACGTTATGGTCTCTGACAGACAACGGCTGTCTGAAAACTGGAAAATGCTGTCTTCGGAGGACACATTCAAGGCATCAAGGCACATTCTAATCCAAAGTTAGCTTCACTTCCTGTCTCATGAGATGCCTTGATCTGGTCAATTTTTGAAGGCAGCATAGATGTAACCTTCGCTGACTTTGATATCCCACAATCCTGTGCATTCCATTCCGTGATGGTTGAGCTAAAAAAAATAAAGATGGCATCAGAAAGTTGGGTTTGGTGGTCAGTTTATATGTAAATGTATGTTTCTTACCAACGTTTTGCATTTTGATGTTATTTCTATCAAGAAATCAGTATTATAGTAATTAAATGTTAGCTCAGTTGTCACCAAAGCTTGTTCGATTTTGTTGTGTGGATCATTAAACCGTTACGCTGTCTCAGCTAAACTCTGCAGGACACCGGCCCTCCAGGACCGAGTTTGGACAGCCCTGATGTAAACATTTATCACCTTTTATTGGAAAATTAACATTTTATCAATACACTGATAATTGCCTTAATTTTTTAAAAACTGAGAAGAAAAAATCACCTGTCAATTTCAGTGAGTGAAGAGCAAATTTATACTCGCATACGTTATGGTCTCTGACAGACAACGGCTGTCTGAAAACTGGAAAATGCTGTCTTCGGAGGACACATTCAAGGCATCAAGGCACATTCTAATCCAAAGTTAACTTCACTTCCTGTCTCATGAGATGCCTTGATCTGGTCAATTTTTGAAGGCAGCATAGATGTAACCTTCGCTGACTTTGATATCCCATAATCCTGTGCATTCCATTCCGTGATGGTTGAGCTAAAAAAAATAAAGATGGCATCAGAAAGTTGGGTTTGGTGGTCAGTTTATATGTAAATGTATGTTTCTTACCAACGTTTTGCATTTTGATGTTATTTCTATCAAGAAATCAGTATTATAGTAATTAAATGTTAGCTCAGTTGTCACCAAAGCTTGTTCGATTTTGTTGTGTGGATCATTAAACCGTTACGCTGTCTCAGAAGCCTGTCCGAAATCATTTTCGTGAGGTGTCTTCGTGGACAAACGCTGCCTGCAAAGTCATTGCTTGATAAGGCAGCAAGTCAGCAGCTGTTGATGCCACTCAGGCCACCATTTCCTCCTCCTCGCAAAGCAATGATGTATTCAAACCTTATAGTATTGTGGGTTCCCTTTCGAAGACAGTTCACTTCGACATTGCATCAGGAATCTGATGCGATGGGGACTCCCTTCCTTCCTTAACCTACCTGAAATCTTATTGCACAACACCAGTGAAGTGGTGGCCAATTGCCAATGCCAATGGTGGCATAAAGAATCTTCTTTTTTCAAGCATCCTACTTCAAGACAGCTGTGTAGAAGACGCAAGAAGATGGATTTCGCCTTAAAAGACGGCCTGAGCGATTGGACAGAGCATGGTTTACATGGTGGTGCTCCACCAGCATCGATGGCTGACGCTGACAGGTAGGCTCTGCTCAATGTGCCATCGTCTCCCTCCGTCCTCTTTGGAGATGCCGTGGAGGCCATAGCGGAGCACTTCTCAGAAGCTCAGAAACGCTCCAAAGCCATGAGTCACTTCCTGCCACGACGTGCTAGAGCGGCGCAGCCTTCAGCATGCAGTAGGTCAACGTCTGCTTTCCACCGCCCAGCAAAGCAAGCCCCCCCCAGCTCCCGCTGCATCGGCGCCAGATCAGAAGCCTTCTGTTCGCGCCAAAACCGCATGGCAGAGGGCGCCGAAGATGCATCACGGCCCCAAGAAGAAGGACAGCCGTCCCTGGGGCCCCCCTCCGTCAGATCAGAGGTCTCATTCCTGACGGGAGATCGCCGAGCAGCGGGCCCGCCGCAAAGCATCTAAAATGTTCTCGCAAGGTCCCCTTGGTGGTTGCAGGTGACCACGAAAATGTCTCTGTTGTGTCTGTTTATCTTGGTGGATCTGAAAGTTGCATATTTTCATATTCAGATCGTCCCTCGACACAGGCGCTTTCTGAGATTTACGTTTGAGGGCACAGCATATCAGTTGAGAGCGAGCGGAACCCCCGTGGCACTGAAAGAATATCAGAGGCTTTTGGGACAGATGGCGGCAGCCACGACGGTGTGTCACCTCAGTCTTCTTTATATGCTCCCCCTCCAGATTTGGCTGAAGACTCGGGTAGCGAGAAGGGCCTGGGTAACATGGTGGTCACACGCTGGTGCCTGTGTGTGGTGGAAGATGGCATCAGAAAGTTGGGTTTGGTGGTCAGTTTATATGTAAATGTATGTTTCTTACCAACGTTTTGCATTTTGATGTTATTTCTATCAAGAAATCAGTATTATAGTAATTAAATGTTAGCTCAGTTGTCACCAAAGCTTGTTCGATTTTGTTGTGTGGATCATTAAACCGTTACGCTGTCTCAGAAGCCTGTCCGAAATCATTTTCGTGAGGTGTCTTCGTGGACAAACGCTGCCTGCAAAGTCATTGCTTGATAAGGCAGCAAGTCAGCAGCTGTTGATGCCACTCAGGCCACCATTTCCTCCTCCTCGCAAAGCAATGATGTATTCAAACCTTATAGTATTGTGGGTTCCCTTTCGAAGACAGTTCACTTCGACATTGCATCAGGAATCTGATGCGATGGGGACTCCCTTCCTTCCTTAACCTACCTGAAATCTTATTGCACAACACCAGTGAAGTGGTGGCCAATTGCCAATGCCAATGGTGGCATAAAGAATCTTCCTTTTTCAAGCATCCTACTTCAAGACAGCTGTGTAGAAGACGCAAGAAGATGGATTTCGCCTTAAAAGACGGCCCGAGCGATTGGACAGAGCATGGTTTACATGGTGGTGCTCCACCAGCATCGATGGCTGACGCTGACAGGTAGGCTCTGCTCAATGTGCCATCGTCTCCCTCCGTCCTCTTTGGAGATGCCGTGGAGGCCATAGCGGAGCACTTCTCAGAAGCTCAGAAACGCTCCAAAGCCATGAGTCACTTCCTGCCACGACGTGCTAGAGCGGCGCAGCCTTCAGCATGCAGTAGGTCAACGTCTGCTTTCCACCGCCCAGCAAAGCAAGCCCCCCCCAGCTCCCGCTGCATCGGCGCCAGATCAGAAGCCTTCTGTTCGAGCCAAAACCGCATGGCAGAGGGCGCCGAAGATGCATCACGGCCCCAAGAAGAAGGACAGCCGTCCCTGGGGCCCCCCTCCGTCAGATCAGAGGTCTCATTCCTGACGGGAGATCGCCGAGCAGCGGGCCCGCCGCAAAGCATCTAAAATGTTCTCGCAAGGTCCCCTTGGTGGTTGCAGGTGACCACGAAAATGTCTCTGTTGTGTCTGTTTATCTTGGTGGATCTGAAAGTTGCATATTTTCATATCCAGATCGTCCCTCGACACAGGCGCTTTCTGAGATTTACGTTTGAGGGCACAGCATATCAGTTGAGAGCGAGCGGAACCCCCGTGGCACTGAAAGAATATCAGAGGCTTTTGGGACAGATGGCGGCAGCCACGACGGTGTGTCACCTCAGTCTTCTTTATATGCTCCCCCTCCAGATTTGGCTGAAGACTCGGGGTAGCGAGAAGGGCCTGGGTAACATGGTGGTCACACGCTGGTGCCTGTGTGTGGTGGAACCATGGCGAGACCCCAACCTGTACCGACGCGGCGTCCAGATGGGACTGGTCACAAGGCGGAAAGTGGTCACAACTCTTCTCTCTTTTGCGCTTTTCCCTGGGCGGTGACGCACTCACAATGCCGTGGCTGAAAGCCCAGTTGTATTCGTTCCCCCCGCAAAAGATTTTGCCACAAGTGCTGCACAAAATCAAAGAGGAGAGGGCGCCGGTGATTCTAATCACTCCGTACTGACCAAACAGGCCATGGTTTCCCGACCTGCTGGAGATACTGACGGTTTCCCCGTGGCAGATTCCGCTGAGACGGGACCTCCTGTCTCAAGCGGGCGGCTCAATATGGCACCCCAACCCCGAATGGTGGAAATTTCATGTGCAGATGGTGTGTGGGAACCGGTACACCTGG